GAGTCTTGTAGGTATTTTCTCCAATAATAGGGCCTTACTGTCAGTTGGTGGAGAACCACCGGTAGCCTTGGCAATAGCCTGGGTTTAGGGATTCACATGGGACCTCTTTGGCCAAGACCTCAATTAGATATAACTCCTTCCAGGTACTGGAAACTTCATTTGGTGATGAGAAATATCCAGTTGGGTCACCCTGTTATTTGGTGATTTCATTTAGAAGCTTCATCTATGTATATAATTTAGGAAGCTTCTATTGCATTAGGTCTCCATATGACCCCTCAAACAGCCCTTAGCTTTAGCTGTCTCTTCCTGTATTCCCTCCATTGCCCCTTCTTCCCTCCAGCTTCCTGTTTGATTCCCTCAGTCCAGTCCCCCTTCCCAGCTTCCATCCATCATTGTCTCTTCAATTCCCCCTTCTGGGGAGATACCTCCCTCGCCCTTAGTCCCTTCCTCTCAACCTGTAGTAAACAACCTGTAGCTGTTTGTTCATCAATTTAACAGCTACCATCCCCATATAAACAAATACATACCATATTTGTCTTTCTGGATCTGGGTTACTTCACTCAGGATGATTTTTTTCTAGTTTGTCCATTTATCTGAGAATTTCATGATTTCATTTTTTAAATAATGGTTGAGTAATATTCCACTGGGTAAATGTACCAACTTTTCTTATTCATTCATCTGTTGATGGATATCTGGGTTGTTTCCAATTTCCGGTTATTATTAATGAGCAGCAGTGAACATAGTTGCACAAGTGTCTCTGTGGTAGATGACGCATCCTTTGTACACATGTCTAAGAGTGGTATTGTTGGATCTTTGTTTTTTAAGATTTTTTTGCCATTTAAAATTTACACTTCCTCCCCTCCTCCCATTCCCCTCACTCTCTCCCACTCACTCTCCTCCCTCCCCCTCCCTGCTTGAGAGAGGGCAGGGAACCCTGCCCTGTGGGAAGTCCATGGCTCTCCCCTCTACATCCAGGCCTAGGAAGCTGTGCATCCAAATGTACTAGAGTCCTAAAAAGCCAGTACATGCAGTAAAAACAAGTCCCAGCGCCTTTATCAATGGCTTCTCAGTCAGCCTCCATTGTCAGCCACAATCAGAGAGTCTGATTTGATCCCATGCTTGTTCAGTCCCAGTCCAGCTGTATTTGGTGAGCTCCCATTAGAACAGGCACACTGACTCAGAGGGTGGACCAACCCCTCACAGTCCTGACTTCCTTGCTCGTCTTCTCCCTCCTTCTGCCCTTCAACTGGACCTTGGGAGCTCAGTCCTTGCTCTGATGAGAGTCTCTGTCTCTATTTCCATCCGTCACTGGACGAAGATTCTATGGTGATATTCAAGATAATAATCAGTGTGATAGTGGGGCAAGGACAGTTCAGGCACCCTCTCCTCTGCTGCCCAAGGAACTAGCTGGGGACAACCCTGTGGACACCTGGGACCCCCTCTAGATCCAAGTCTCTTGCCAATCCTGAAATGACTCCCTTAATGTAGCTATCTTCTACCCTGCTCCTATATCCGCTCTTCCTCCATCTCCACCCTCCCACTTCCCCAAGCTCTCCCCAATCTTTCCCTTCTCCCTTCCCTGTCCCCCTCTCCCCTTCCCCCAATCCCATTCCCACCCCTACCCTCACCCGCATGCTCCCAACTTTTGCCCAGCAATCTTGTTTGCTTCCAATTTCCAGGAGGATCTATATATGTTTTGCTTTGGGTTCACCTTGTTATTTGGCTTCTCTAGGCTTGTGAACTATAGGCTTAATGTCCTTTGTTTATGGCTAGAGTCCACTAATGAGTGAGTACATACCATATTCATCTTTTTTGGGTCTGGGTTATCTCACTCAGGATAGTTTTTTCTATTTCCATCCATTTGTATGCAAAATTCAAGATGTCATTGTTTTTTACCACTGAGTAGTACTCTAATGTGTATATATTCCACACTTTCTTTATCCATTCTTCCATTGATGGGCATCTAGGCTGTTTCCAGGTTCTGGCTATTACAAATAATGCTGCTATGAACATAGTTGAGCAAATACTTTTGTAGTAAGATTGAGCATGCAAGATATTTTATGTTATTTGAGACTATTTTGATACGTATTATTTCTTTGATTTCTCTCTCGGTCCTTTTGTCATTTGTATATAGAAGGTCTACTGACTTTTGTGTGTTAATTTTTATTCTGCCACTTTGTTGAAAGTGTTTATCAAATATAGAAGTTTCCTGGTAGAATTTTTAGGGTCACTTATATATACTATCATATCATCTGCAATTAAAGATACTTTGACTTCTTTTTTTCCAATTTGTACCCCCTCAATCTTCTTTAGTTTCTCTGGCTAAGACTTCAAGTATTATATTAAATATTTGTGGAGAGAGTGTACAACCTTGTCTTGTTACTGACTTTAGTGAAATTGCTTTGAGTTCCTCTCCATGTGAATTGATGCTGGCTATGAACTTGCTGTAAACTGCCTTTATTTATGAAGAGGTGTGTCCCTTGTATCCTTAATCTCTTTAGTACTTTTATCATGAAGAGGTGTTGGGCTTTTTGAAATCCTTTTATATAGCTAATGAAATAATCATGTCGCTTTTGTCTTTCAGTCTCTTTATATTGTGGGCTACATTCATAGATTTACATATGTTGAACCATCCCTGCATCTCTGGGATGAAGCCTATTTGATCACGGTGGATGATCTTTTTGATGTTTTCCTGGATTTAGTTTACAAGTATTTTATTTAGAATTTTTGCACCTATGTTCACGGGGGAATTGGTTTCTAATTCTCTTTCTTTGTTGGGTCTTTATTTTGTTTGGGTATCAGGGAAACTGTGACCTCATAAAATGATTTGGTCAATATTCCTTCTGTTTCTGTTTTGTGGAATTATTATTTGAGGAGTATTGACATCAACTCTTCTTTGAAAGTCTGGTAAATTCCTACACTAACACCATCTGTCCCTGGGCTTTTTTTTGGGGGGGGAAGGGGACTTTTAATGAATGCTTCCATTTCACTAGGGGCTGTAATTATGTTTAAATTTGTTTATCTGGTCTTTATTTATCCTTGATAGATGGTATATATGAAAAATTTTCCACTCTATTTAGATTTTCTAATTTTGTAGAGTACATGTTTTTGAAGTATATATCCTTATAATTCTCTGGATTTCCTTGATGTCTATTGTTATATTGTTCTTTTTGCCTCTTATTTTGTGAATTTGGATTTTCTCTCTCCACCTCTTAGTTAGGTTGGCTTTGAGTTGTCAATTATGTTGATTTTCTCAAAGAATCAACTCTTGATTTTTGGATTCTTTATATTTTTTCTGCTTTATTGATTTCAACCCTGAGTAATTTTTTTGCCTTCTAATTCTTTTGGGTGTGATTTCTTCTGTTTGTTCTAGGGTTTTCAGGTGTTCTGTTAAATTATTTATAAGAGATTTCTCCATTTTTTTGATGTAGTTACTTAGTCCAATGAGCTTGCCTTTTGGACCTGTCTTCATTATTTCTCATAAGTTTGGCCATGCTGTGTTTTCATTTTCGTTAAATTCTAGAATGTCTTTTGTTTCTTTCTTAATTTCTGTCTTCACGCATTTTTTAATTCACTAGTGAGTTCTTCAGTTTCCATGAGCTTGAAATTTTTTTGTTGTTTCTGTTGTTGTTGATAGCCAGCTTTAATCTGTGGTGGTCAGATAGGATGAAGTGAGCTATTTCAATTGTCTTGTATCTTTTGTGTCTTCCTTTGTGTTCAAGCATGTGGTCAATTTTGGAGAAAGTTCCCCGAGCTGCTGAGAATAAAGTATGTTCTAAGCTAAGTAAGCTAGTTCTAAGGCTTCAGTTTCCCTGTCCATCAAAAGTAAGCGAACATCTACGAGTTCCTTCGTGTGAATGCACCGAGGCTTTGGTGGGAAGGGGGCAGGTAGATAAGGCATGGAAAGTGCTTCGGAGAGTGGACTGGACACAGGACGCGCCCGTGGGAAGGGGTACATCCTTCCATTGGCGCAGTCACTCTTCTACTTTGCTGTTAAAGGTTTGACCCTCTCTCCCTCAGGCAATGTTCTCCACTAACCGCGGTACGGTTGGAGGCTTCTTCCTGGCGGGCCGAAGTATGGTGTGGTGGCCGGTAAGTTTCTCTGGGGAAAAAAAAAAACCCTTTTCATTTTTTTTTTATTATTTACTTTTTGAGATTATAATATAATCACATCATTTCCCCCTCACCTTTTTGCCTCTAAACACTCCCTCTTTGCTCTCTTTTAAATTTATGGCCTCTCTTTTCATTAATTGTTGTTACAAGTTTATGTATGTATTTATATGTATATGTACACACACACACACACACACACACACACACACACATACACACACGTATTCCCAACCATAGCCTGCTTGGTCTGAATAATGGTACCTGCATGCCTGTTTTCAGAGCTGAGTGTTTGGACTGGGTACCAATTGGTATGCTGTACCTGGGGAAAACTACTTCTCCTGCTCCAGACGTCCCTTAGTGGTTGATAGTTACTCGTGCAGGGTGGAGCCCGGTGGTTTGTCACAGCCACTTTGGCATGTCTGTTAGTGCTGTCCTCGTTCAGCTCATTCTAGGCAGTCATGCTGGTGAGATTTTCTGGGCGCAGCTTCTGACTTTCCTAGGAAAACAATTGCAAGGCAAATTCCCTAATCCTATGGCTTATAATTTTCCATTCCCTCTTCTGCAACATTCTCCAAGCCTTAGGTACAGGAGTTGTTTTGTAGATGTGTCCCTTGGAGCTGGGCTCCACAACTCTGTATTTTGACTGGTTGTGGTTTTCAGCAATGGTCACCATTTATGGTAAAGAGGAATTTTCTTTTTCCTTTTTCTTTCTTTCTTTCTTTCTTTCTTTCTTTTTTTCTCTTTTCTTTTTTTTCTCGAAACAAGGTCCCTGGCTGTCCTGAAACTCTTTGTAAACCAGGCTGATCTTGAAATCTCAAAGATCCCTCTATTTCCCCAGGGCTGGGATATAAGGTGTGTGCCACCACCACCTCTCAGCTAAGAGGAATTTTCTTGATGACAGGTAAAAGCTGTACTTAGCTGTGGGTGTGAGGACAGACATCTAGCACTGTGCTTAGGCACTGTGCTGCTTTAGGAAAGCTGTAGGTCTTCCCGCAGTATCCATGACGTCACCAGCCCTGGAGAGGTGGCGAGGCTTCCAGCACTAGACTTGCTTTCCCTCCTGTTGAGCAGTTCCTGAGTCCAGTGAGGCAGCTCTTGGTTAGCAGTAAGGTGTTTTGCCACTACTGCACCCTTAGGGATATCATAGGGATATCATACCATATGGGTCATTGTTACGGTTCATAGGTTTCACAGGTGTCATAGCTGGGCAGGACTGTCCCCCTCCTTTGGAAGCTTGCATGAATGGATTCTTCCAGTGCCATAAAAGCTAGTCCTCAGAGAGGGGGCATTCAGGCCAGTTTCAACTCCAGAAGTTTTTGGGCACTGTGTCTGAAGTACATGGTGTCTTAGCAATAGGAACTTACCTTCTACCTGTGGGGGCAACCAAGGGCAATAGGAATAGTCTAAGAGTCTCTGAGGCAACCTAGCCTATTGGCAGAGACTGCTCATTCATTTCCAGCTGCCCAGACCTGAAATAATAACTCAGAAACAGTATCATTTGCAATACTGTTTGGCCGATAGCTTAGATGTATTTCTAGCTAGCTCTTGCATCTTGAATTAACAGATTTCTATTATTTTATATTTTACCACGAGGTTTGTAATTTACTGGCAAAGTCCCTGCTAGCAACTCATGAATTTTCCTCTGACAGCTACATGGTGTCTCACTGACTCCACCTACTTTTCCCCAGCATTCAGTTTATCTTTACTCCTTTAATCTATGACTGTCAGTACTTTTTTATATTGTAACTGTCTATACTGATTTTCCTCTCTCTCTCTCTCTCAAGCCTATGTACATTTATCCAACACAATGGCCCATTTAGAGGTCTTTTCCATCTGGATTTGTCTTCATTGAATGTGTATCTGTAATTATGGTTTAACCAAGAGCCCTTTTTTTTTCCTTTGAAATGCTAAGCGGGCATGGCTAGGAACAACTCCACGGTCCTGCCTGCTTACTCTACCCAGTCCAACATGGCGGAGGCATGTTTGCTGCTTCTGAGAGCCATTCTCTCTGCCCCAGATCGAGGGCCGCAGTGGGTCTGTGTCACCACTAAGCAATTTGTAACACGCTGCTCACAGACCCCATTTAAGTGCTTGGCCTCCTGAAGGAGCCAGAACTGTATATGCAACTATCATGAACCAGGAAGCTGCCATTTCTTAATGAAGTCACATGTGTTTGTTTGTTTGTTTGTTTTTGCTGCTAATGCTGAATCAGGAAGACCTCTCTTAAATGATCTGTGGTGCCCCTGCTCACCACCAGTGAACAGAGCCCATCTGAAAAAAAAATGCAGCTAAACTTTGTTTTGTTTTTTTTGTGTCTAGAAATTTTTTATAAGCTCTCTTAGGTTTCATGTGGATTTAGCTGGCACACACTGGCATGCCAATCTGTTGGCAGAAGTTGATTGTTCATTTCCTGGATGCCTAGACCTGAAATCATCACACAGAAACTGTATTATTACAACACTGTTTGGCCTATTAGTTCACACTTCTTATTGTCTAGCTCTTATATCTTAAATTAACCCATTTCTATTCATCTGTGTATCGCCACATGGTTGTGGCCTGCCAGTAAGATTCTTTTAGGCATCTGTCTCTTGTGGCGGCTACATGGCTTCTCACTGACTCCGCCTTCTTTCCTCCTCTAACTGCTTGGTATTCCTGCCTTGCTCTAGTCTGTTAAACCACTGGCCGAAACAACTTTATTATTCATTAACCAGTAAAAGCAACACACATACAGAAGGACTTTCCCACACCACTAGCCCAACAACTCAAAAGAGGGCTTCTCATTCCTGGTGCTGGGGGTATGGTTAGGTGGCCTTTGGCTCTCAGAAAGAACAATTTTCTTTATATATTCTGAGAAGTAAACCTGTGTCAGATGTTGATTGACAAAGAGTCTCTGCCAGCTATGGGCTTCCTCTTGCCCAGATTGATTATACTTCAGCTGGACAGAAGCTGTTTAATTTTATGACGTCCACATTTTAAAAGAAGTCCTGTCTTCTCATAACACTCCTAGAGGGTAAATATCAGCATGGGAAATACAAAAATGAATGCATGTAGCTGTGCTCCAATGAAACTTTATTTAAAAAAAGAAACCGGCAGAGGGCCCACTTAGTTGTTTTAGGGACACTGTATATAAAGTCTGAGAACAGAGGCCTTGGCCATTCTCAGGTTCGTCTCTTGTTTTTGTCAGTGGAGCATTGCAAGACTTATCTGCTTGACTCCTGAATGATCTGACTTGGTAAGGACAGCAAGGAGATGAGTCACCGCATGGTTTGCCCATGTTTGCACATACCAGGAACCCCTCCCCGTTCTTCTGATTGCTCAGGTCCTGAGGTAGACATTGATGGGGCCCATATAGTATAAGACTAACCTGAAAACCAAGACAGTTTTTCAATTAGGGTTAGAAAGAAACCCCAATGAAAATTATCCCTGAGGAAGAGGACAACACCTCAAACTTTCTACTGTCTTAGGAAATATACCTGGTTTTTGTTTATTTATTTATTTATTTACTTTTTCAGGCAGGGTCAGTCTCACTTTGGAGCTCAGGGGTAGCCTTGAATTCAAGATCCTCCTGCCTCAGCTTCCTCAGTGTTGGAATTGCAGGCATGTATTTTCATGCCTAGCATAATTTTATTTCTAAGTTGAGTCTAAAACCATCAGATTGAAGATCAGCTGTTTATCCTGCTACCAGGGGGCCACAGACCACCTGGGGAAAGCATGGCAGGCTGTTGACCCTGGTACAGGGAACTCATGAATCAGAGAGGCAGAGAGGGAACCAGGGGAGGCAGAGAATGCACAAAGGGACAAAGTCCCAGGAAGAAGCATGCAGGAATGACAAGTAGCTGGCCTTTAAGAAATATATCTCAGTCCATTTATTTATTTACTTATTTATTTCGTTTTGGTTTTACAAAAGAGGGTTTCTCTATGTAACAGCCCTGGCTGTCCTAGAACTCACTCTGTAGACCAGGTCGCAAACTCACAGAGATCTGCCTGCCTTTGCCTCCTTAGTGCTGAGATTAATGGTGTGTACTACCATGCCCAGTCAAATTTGTTTTTTTCAGTTTGAGTGAACTGCTGTCAAATATTGGCACTTGTCCCAGAGAGATTTCCTTTGAAGAGAATGGTTTTTGCCCCATCTGCCAGCTTCCGCCTTCTCCAACCACCTGCGTCCTCTCCGTTTTCCTTCTTCTTCTCCCTCTTTTTGTTTCTTCTCATTTTTTTCTTCTCCCACAACCTTCTCTTCGGCTCCTTGTTCTCCAAATTCCCAAATGTTGTTTATAAATGTTTGTTTACATTTAAAGGGGGATATATTATAGAGATTTGCATTGGTATGGATCTTGATTTATTGATACAAATTTAAGGTCAATTTTGTTATATGTATATTTCTACTCTTGATTAAGGTATTATGTTTTTGCAACTCATTTAAAAATGTAATGTATAATTAAAAATACAGGTTAATAAGTAGTTATCTATAGTAGTCAAGTGTGTAGTCATGTAAGTTAGGTTTTACAGAGGTACAAAGATATATTTCAGATGGATAGATATTCTTCAAACCTCTCAAAGACTACAAAATTTGGCTTTTAAAATATTTTTAAGAACTTAGGACTTTTGATGACAGTGAGACACATCTGCTCCTGGCAGCAGCAATCTTCTACTTCAAGAGGATGATGGGCATCAAAGAGGCTCCTTATGGAGTTTGCTAGCCATTTGGGCAAGAGCAGTTTCTTGACTGAACTTGCAGGAGCCACAGAAAATTACTGCTGAACTTGCCTAAAGGTGAGATGGTCTTTCAAGCTTCCTGCTTCATAAAAGAGTCTGCCAGACATTCTACAGGACTCAAAAGAAAGTGACTGACAAACTGCCAATATAGGCAGAACTGTCTTTAAAACTTCCTGCTTCATGGAAAAGTCTACTGGATACTATGGGCCTGTAGGCTGAAGATGGATGCCCCAACTGTACAGAAAAACTTTGGGTAACTGTCCAGG